CTTGTGAAAGGGTCATTTTACCCACAGAGTGATCACACTCCTCAGGCTGGAAAACCCTGAAACAGGTACTGAAGATGGGTCAACTCTGCCTCAAGGAATCAACACAAAACAGTGATGAATTTTTGCTTTTCCTTTTGCTAAAGGGGAAAGGGAGCTGTTGAAGGACAGGTTTTAAAAAGCAACCTGTGGCATGGTTCTTAAAGCTCTAGCAGGGTAGTGAGTTTCCTGTAGCCTCAGGCTAAAGACAGAGGGAACTTTCTGTCTGTCCACCCTCAGGAATACGTGGCTAAAGTCAGGTTCACTGTTCTATGCAGTCTGTAGCCTGGGACACAAAATGAGAATCTGAAACGGTCCAAGAAAGAGGCTTGTGGGCATGAAGGTGCAGACTTGTAATTCCAGGACAAGAAGCTGAGGAAGGATGGTGAGCTCCAGACCAACCTGGGCTTCATGCTTCCAACTCCTTGTCACATCAAAACCCAGAGAACTAAACCGAAGAGATGGCTCAGTGGTTAACACACTTGCTGCTCTTGCAAAGGATTAGGTTGGACTCCCAGCACCTGTATCAGGTGGCTCACAACCACCCCTAGCTCTTAGGCATCTTTTACCCCTTCTGGTCTTTGCCAGGCATGCATACCCACACGTACAGAAATAAATAAAATGACTTAAAAACTGAAGACAAGCTGAGAGAGAGATGAATGGGTGGACATAGCATGAGCTCACCCTGCACTCAAGACTACCGACTCTGCCTAAGACCCCTCACTGTACCGGCCAGGCTGCTGTGCCCAACGACCTGCTGCAGCTCCTGCTAACCCTACAGCTGAGTCTATCATATCTTCTGCTACTTGCTCTGTTCATCACTGTGCACCAGTTCACTTGTCCTTTTTCTCTCTCTTGAGATAGGGTCTCATAAATCCTGGCTGCCCTCAACCTCGGTCTGTAACTGAGCCTCTAATCTTAGCTCCACATGCAGTGCTGGGTTTACAGGCATGCAGCATCTGTTGGGCTTCTGCAGCGCTGGGGGACAGTAACCAGCTCAGGAAGTTCTCTACCTGCTGAACCGCATCCCAGCCTCCTTTTCTAGACCAGGAGCAGCTCACAGAGTACACTTTGCAAATAAAGTGTATATATATACACACACACACACATATATATATATATATATTATATATAAAGACGGGTACCTGTCAGTGCTGAGCAACAGGCAGTACCCATTTATCCTCACCTGAATTTGAAGTCACATGACCCTGTAGCCAGCAAGATGTTGGGGTGCCAGTCCAAGCTGAGGACCATGGAGCGAATCGGCTTCTTAATGTGCTTGCTCACCCACCTGAGGAAGGAGACAACCTAGTTTACACTTTCCTCACAGACAAAAACAACAGTGTTTTCCAAGCTGCCAGTACACCCCCTCCAAACAAAACTGTACATTTATAAAAACCATTTAAATTCTGAAATCCACAGGAACCGTTACCTACATTTACTGAGGTAAGTCGTGTACACACCATCACTTTTAATGTTGTAAGGCTGTCTTTTGATTTAGGCTTGAGTATTTTCATGGACTCCCTACAGTGTACAGCTGCACCTGCTGAAGGCTAGCTTGTTCTCTGTCAGGGAAGAGCTCCCTACACAGAGTTCAGGCTGGCCTCCAACTTGCTGTGAATCTCACACTGGTCTCAAAGTACAGCTAGAATTACAGGCCTGTGCACCACACCGGCCTGAGGGGCTGACTTGCAGCTCACGTTCAGGGACTAAATCTGCGACCACAGTAAGGTCCAGTCCACCTACGACCTCTCAGCGAACACACACAGTCAACTGCTCCAAGGCAGTCAAGAGGAAACACTTCCTACGTGAATTAAGAAGAGTCAGGGGCTGGAAAGGGAAGGATGGAGATGGAAGAATGAAGGAGGAAGCGGAGGGAGGAAGGAAGCGAAGGAAGATTAGCATGGCTCAACAGTTGTTTTCAAATTCAAAGTAGCAGATGGAGGAGATGAGCCGGCCTCCACTCCACAGCAAACTTGTTCTCCAGTGGGGACTACTTCACAAAAGTGGTGGTGGTTGATCCTGAGCAAGGGCAGGGGTGGTGGCAACCTCCTTAAGGCTGTCACTTCTCCAAAGCCCCTCCTCCTTGGTCCTGCAGAGGACTTGTGAGGTGGCCTTGCGCCCTGGCTCTCCTGGAGAACCCTGGGGTTGTGGTGGTGGCAGACCAGCATCTTTAGGTAGTTTCTCTCCCCTGTCAGGGTCTGTCCTGGGGGGTGCACCTTGTACCGAGTATTGCACAGGCTTGGCCTCCTCCTGCTTTGGGATCAGGTCGGGGTTCCAGGCAGCTTGGTTCTCCAGGCCTGAAACGGGAGAAGGTGAGCAGAGAGAGAACGGACCCAGCCCAGGACTCCAATGTCAGTGTCAGGACCCAAAGTCTTGGTGGGGACAGGGGGGGAGGGGGGGACGGGGGGGG